ACACAGTATGAGTTACATACATGTTCACATTTGTCAAAATTGATTAAACTGCACACTTAAGATCTATGCATTTCTCTATATATGTTATACTTCAATTACAACTGTTTTAAAATATATGATTGCCAAATGAATACTCTAATGACCTAAAAAGTACCCTTGAATTTGGTGGCTGAAAACACTAACATTTCATTTGCTCTGAAATCTGCAAGTTGGACATGGATCAGCATGGACACTTCATTCCTTCTCTATTTGCCAGTAGTCAGTGATTGGTATTATCTAAAGGCTCACTCATTCACATGTCGGATGGTGAATGCTGGCTGGCTGTCACCTGAGACTTTAGCTGGGCCTGTAGGTTCAAGCACTGACACAATGCATCTTTATGTGCCCCGAGATTCCTCATGATATGGTGATTGTGTTACAAAAACTTTATATTCAGTGTGACTCTAATTCTATTTCAATATACACATACATTCTAAAAAAATTAACAGAAGTTTTCCCTGGAGTGAAGGAAAATGAGTGATTTTTAAGCTTTCATAGTTATACATTTTTATTTTATAAATTTTATACCATAAACATGTATTACTTTCTAAATCAGATGAAAAAAATTCAGTTCCCTATTAGCGTACATAATACACTAGTGTAAACACAGATGAAATTGAAAATGCAAAAATGTCAAACATATTTACATTATTAAAAAAAAAAAAAAATCCGCTCACAAACAGCAAAAACATTAAGAAATACTCGATTCATTCTGCCTTACTTCCCCACCCTCCCCATCACGAGACAGAGTTTCACTCCTATTGCCCAGGCTGGAATGCAATCGTTTACTGCAACCTCCGCCTCCTGGGTTCAGGCAATTCTCCTTCCTCAGCCTCCTGAGTAGCTGGGATTACAGGCATGCACCACCATGCCCAGCTAATTTTTGTATTTCTAGTAAAGATGGGGTTTTACCATTTTGGTCAGGCTGGTCTTGAACTCCTGACCTCAGGCAATTCACCTCCCCCAGCCTCCCAAAGTACTGGGATTACAGGCGTGAGCCACCTCATCCAGCCCACCTTACTTTTCAAGTTACAGAAGAACTGAACATCCGCACATCAGAAACTAACAAAGAACACAAATATGCTCAATGATATCTGATATCTTCTAAATCACACATCTGGCCCTTTTCATGGCACAGCTCTCCCTTAGTCTAATTCCTTCCTCAAAACCTCCTCTCCATATTTTCCTTTAATCAAAATCACCTACTAAACATTACCCTAGAAATAAAATCATCTGGAAAGGAAGGCCTACAAAGGCAAACCTCAGATGCTAGATACTTTCTATCTTACAACATGGTGCCACCTCACTTGATAATAGACCTTTTACTAAGATTTAAGGCCTACTGAACAAATATTATGGCTACCTCAAGGTCACTCTGGAATTCTCAGTAATGATTAAACAATACAGGAGTCAATGGCAAGATCTTTTGCTCCTTTTCCTTCCCTGGCCTCAGCCTTATTGCAAAACACTCCCACCCTTCTGCTACCTGGCCCCGCAAGGCATGTTCTTACATTCCATGTGGACCAATAATTTCTATCATCTCATAAATTCTATACTTACTCTAGTAAAAAGTTAACTGTTTTTGTTACACTAAAGTCCTTTTCTTCATCTGACCTTAAACAACTACTTCTATAATTTTCTAATTTTTCAATACACTGTTAATTTGCACACACCAAATCAACATACTTCTACGTTGTATTTTTACACTTTTCATTTCCTGATTTGCCTTTTTCCTGCTGACTCACACTATTTGATTACAACAAATTCCTAAGCTTTTTCTCAACCTGGACTATTTACATTATAAAAATGTCCCATGTTCTCTAAAATGCTCAATTTTAAAATGATAGCTAAATGATTCTATTCATCCAATTTTACAATATGAGTTTTTAGTTATTTCAAGAACTTCATCAACAAGCAAGTCAATTCTTAGGTGCTTCAAAGAAACAACTATCAGTATGAAAAGTTAAGGCTTATGTGGTATTAATCAAATATTCTCAAGACTTGCTCAAATAGAAAACAACTGTAAATATACTCACGTGTTGCTTAATAATGGAGGTACATTCTTAAAAAATGCATCATTAGGCAATTCACTGTGGACATCACAGTGGACTTATACAAACCTACATAGTCTAGCCCACTATACATGCGCCTAGATGGTACAGTCTATTACTCCTAGGTTACAGACCTATATAGCAGCTTACTGTACTGAATACTATAGTATGTGTATATCTAAACACAGAAAAGGTACTGTAAAAGTACAGCATAAAAGATAGAAAATGGTATACCTATATAGGGCACTCCCCATGAATGGAGACTGCGGGACTAAAAGTTGTTGTGGGGAAGTGGGTGGTGAACAAATGTTAAGGTCTAAGACATTGCTGTACACCACTATTGACTTTATAAAGACTTTACACTTAGGCTACACTGAAAAGTTCTTCTTTCTTCAGTTAACCTTGGCTTACTGTAACTTTTTTTATTTTACAAACTTTTAAACTCTTCTAAAATTGCACTTAGCTTAAAACACATATTGTACATCTGTACAAAATATTATTTCCTTATATCCTGATTCTATAAGCTTTGTTCTATTTTTAATTTTAAAACTTTTTCTTAAAAACTAAGACACAAACACCCACTAACCTAGGCCTACACAGGGTCCAGATCATGCACATCAGGGTCTCCCACCTCCAATCTCGGTCTCCCACCTCCAATCTCGTCGCACTGAAAGGTTTTCAGGGGCAACAACATGCATGAGCTGTCACCTGCTATTATGACAGTACCTTCTTCTGGAATATTTCCTGAAAGACTCGCCTCAGGCTGTTCTATAGTTAACTTTTCTTTTTAATCAACAAAAGTACACACTAAAACAATGATAAAATGGGTAGAAAATACACAAACCAATAATGTATTTAACCTCATCAAGTATTACGTACTGTGCATAACTGCATATGCTACACTTTTACAGGGACTGGCTGCACAGGAAGTTTGTTTACACCAGCATCACCACAAAAACATGAGTAACTAAGAAATTATGACTACTACAGCTTCACTACGCAATGGGAATTTTTCAGCTCCCTTATAATCCGTGGGACCAAAATCATATATGAGCTCTGATGACCTCACTGGCACTATGCAGTACATAACTGTACTACACAAATTACAGCTATATGTGGCTGTACAAATTTATAGTAGTCCCAAGCTACAAACTCAAGACCTTCAGCTAAACAAAGAAAGAGATGTCAAAAAGTTTTACGTCCTGTCTCCTTCCCATGATTCTCCTGATTATTTCAGTATTGAAAAGAACTTTCTCTGCTGAAATGTTTAAATGAGTTCCATTACTATGAAATCACTTTTAAAAAGTTATAAGCATTATATAAATTAAAAGGTATTATTAGCATAACAAAGAAAATATTTCTGCATGGGAGGGAGGGGTAAGCCTATGGCAGACACGGGGTTCAGAGAAAGGAAAGAAAGGGAGAAGAGAAAGAGAATGTGAACACATGCCGGTCTCCCTAAAAGAAATGTAAATGTATGTGGCTAAATCCCTTGCTCCTCATCAGCAATATGTTTTTTTTACAGATACCCTGCCTTTGCTGATACACTGGCAGCAACCTGTTTAAATCAGGAGTGTGACATGCTACACTGCATGTCGGGGTGGAAAACAGCGATGATCTTTCACAGGGCTGAGAAGATGAAAAACACTAAATTCTGATCAATTTATTAATAAACAGAGAATAGCATTTTCTTCAAATACACGATTAATTTCACTACCGATACTTTATTCGCAGGATACACATTTTAACTGCTGTTAAAGATAGGTGGGGATGACCGCAATAGGAGATCTCAACTGAAGGCAGCATTATTTATTGTTTTCTATTTAATTATTTTGTATTTGACACTCGTTCTACATAAGTTTATTTAAAAGAGTAAAGCGCAAGGCAGCCTGTACCCTAATGTCAGGTTTCCAGCTTGCTGCTAGGAAAAGCAGTCTGGATAAGAAAGAATCTGTATTATAAATGAAATCCCCTAAGACTAAACAACATGCATTCCAGCTAAGAACAGTGAACCTGTACCCCTTGTAAAGTGCGAACACTAACTTCTAGGTTAAGTACGCTACAAACAATTGTAAGCGAAATTTCCAAAGTCAACTACCTTTAGCATGGGGCTAGAGGAATCACCTAACTCTACCTCCCACACCCGGCATCAACAGCTTTCTTAATTCTTATGCTGAATTCTCCCAACAAAATACTTCCAAGCTTTCTTTGCTGAATAAAAATGGCGCTGCTTTTCCCGTCACAATATTGTTGATTTCTCAGTAATCCTTAGGCCCTTTAATCATCAAACTCAATTGGCCTCATGTAAATGCCACCCTTCCCTGAACACTGCCAAGTGCTTGAGGGTTGGGCCAGGGGGTAAGGGTGGCTGCTTCTATCTACAAGGCTGCAACTTTCTCAGCTAGAATCTGCCCCTCGCACCCCTCGACGCCATGTCTAATGCACCGTCCACACCTAGACCCACGCATCAGCCTTTCTGGGAGTCGTTCAGAGCCACCCGCGGGGCAGGCACCACCACGCCGGCCTCTCCGGAGCACAGCCTTCCGCTAAGTCTACATCCCAGCCTGTGCACCCGAAGGTACCCAACCGCCGAGTCCCAGCCCCACTGCGGCGGAGGGCAGGGACCAGCACGCACACCCTCAAGTCTACATGAAGACCCTCCCGGGGCTGTCGCCGGCACCAACGCCTGGACCACCCCGGCCCTGGGCGGCAGATGGGGGTCTGGGGCGCACGCCGCGGAGGCAGGGAGGAGGCTGGTGGGAGCGAGAGGTCGCCGGGACAGGCTTGTCTTCCCCTCCCAGGGGCGGCGGGCCCCAGGGCCCAACCCTCTCCCAGGCCCCCGGTCTGGCGGCACCAAGGCCGCAAAGGGCAGCGAGGGCGCGTGCCCGACACCTGGGTACCCCGCCGTACCTGAACCGAGTGGCAGCTGCACCGCGTCGCCGAGGGGCCGCGGCAGGGTAGAGTCCGTGGTACTGGCGGTGCCGAAGGGTGACGGAAAGGCTTAGACTTGGGACTGCTCTCAACTTTGCGCCGGGCCACCGCCCGTGCTCGCTGCGGTGACCGCTCCACAGCCTCGACTTACAGCAACTCCCAACGCCGGTTCCCCACCTTGCGCAGGCGCCGGCCGCCCACGGCACAATCGCGGCGTGGAACCCTGACGCGGCAGCCAATCAGAGAGCGCCGGCGGCACCGCACCCCTCCCCCGTGCTGAGGGGCGGGGCGAAGGGAGGAGGCTCGGGCGAAGGCTGTTGTTTGAGGGGACTTTAGAAGGGCGTCTTTGCCCCCTCACGCCTCCCTTTGTCCTCCCTAGAATGTCACGGCCATCCACCTCTCTCTAGGAGGGACAGCAGGCAACCTAGGGGTGGGCAGTGGCCCCAAAAAAGGAGCGAAGTGAGGGACGTCCCAAGCATTGCTGGGGACATTGGGGACCAAGCTTGGGCCTGGCAGGAGGGGGACGGTGAACCAAACCTTTGTCTTCGAAACTGCTGTGTAAAAGCCCAAAGTTGAGACCAATCCCATGGTCTGACCCTTGCAGTCCCCCTCCAGCTGCACCTGGGCCTTCCAGGCGGAGCGAGGTGTTCCTGGGTTGGAAGCCTGTGGTCGCAGGGAGACCGCCTCACCTTTGTTGCGTTCAAGTTTAGTTCTTCGGTCGCCAGCCGCTCTTATTGAACGTCCTGCCTGCCTCCTCAAAGAGGCGGTTTCTAAGCATCTCTTCACCCCCTGAGCACAGTAACCTTCAGACTTTTGAATTCTGCGTGTCCACATACCTTCTGGGTGTTGGGGGAGGGTCATATATATGTGCAATTCATTTGCCCCAAACTTCATAAAAGTAATCCATTTGAGCTCTTTGAAAATGCAACATCAACTTTTGTTCAGCAGACTTTCAGAAGAGGAATGCCACAGGTGGGTTTCTAATTCCGCTTGGGAGCTCAAGACTTAAGAGTTTGGCAGTTTGTGATTCGGGTAAAAATAGTGTTTACTGGGCGTTTAACTGCATGTTTTAATACTTTTGGTAGAATAGCTCAATAATTCTCACAATCACGCTGTGAGATAGATATAATTATACACCATCTTTCAAATAAATTGAGGCACCGAAAAGTTATGTAACTTGCCCAAGAACACACAACTAAGTAGATTAGAATCCAAGTAACCTACCTCCAGAGCTGACCTTGCCACTAGACTTTTGTCTTCCTCACACCTAAACCCATTTCAGAAATTCTCATCAGCTACCATTTGCTTTATAACTAGTCCAGGATCTTGAACAATAGGACAGCACAGATAAGAAGAATATACCCACTTTGGTAAATGGGTCCATGGGTTTTAGTTTCTTTGAAAAGGAGGCAGTTGAACTAATCAATGCAGTCCATTTCTGCCTAAAATTGAGTGGTCAATGTAATCTTAGTTTGGTAGATTCTCAACTGAAACTGAATAGAGGATGGAAGGAAGAATAAGAAAAAAACCTGGACCTTCAGTCAACCTGGGGAAGTGTTCCAGTGGGAATTGTAATCAATTAGAGAGCAACCTATTGAGTTACGTTTTTATTAAAGAATATTAATCCCAAAATATAGATTTCTCTATTAATGCAGTATTAGAAAAAAAGATTTTTTCATTTTCTTCACTTTGGAAACATGCAGAGGAAGCATACAGCTGGCAGAGCATACAAACTGAAGGAGAAATTGAAATACCATTTTAAACCAGTAAAGATGTGTGTTGGGAACGTACTGCAACCTAGAATAGGCAGCACGGAGACACAGTCTCTGGCGCCACCACGCCCAGCTAACTTTTGTACTTTTTGTAGTACCAATAATGTCTGCAAAAGGAGTTTCCTTAGGCTGAGTTTTTATTTTAGTCGTACATGACAGAACATAGCCTATATTTGGGCTTACTTCACCTAAAAGCCTTAACAGAGTTTTGTGTTTACAGAAGTAAATAGGGTAACAACTAGTTTTGATCTATTTAGAGCTTTTACAAACTACACAGTAGGAAAGGATTTCAAAAGAACAAACAGTAATTATATAAAGATTTTCATGGATGATAGTTAAGCAAATGAATGTATAACTTCTTTGGATCACAGTATTACTTTGTGGCACATTTAAAATTATTACTCTGATTGATGATTTTGGAAATTCCAGGCACCGTTGGACTCCATCCATATGGACTCCATAGCATTTCTCTAATTCTATACATATTTATCTTTTTTTGGTTAGTGTCCACCTGTTAATCAATTAAACGATACTACATTATTCTAGGACAGGAGCCAGGAACTTTGGTCTTATGGCATAAAACTACGCTATTACTCTGTGTAAAATATATTCCACGACTGGTTCCTAGATACTTATGTCAGAGAGTGCTTAAAATTGTTCTCTTTGGAGTTGCTTGAGTGTCACTGAAAAATAAAAGAAAAAATCAACTCAGGTATATCTTATACAACCCAACAAGAGAGTGGGTCTCTGTGGGTTTCCAGGACCATCTTTATGAGAATCAATTAGGATGCTTATTGAAATCCCAGATTCCTGGGCAATAGTCAACATATAAAAGAATCAGAATGTGCTCTGTCAGAGCCCTCAATCTGCCTTTTATCAGTGTTCATGGGTAATTCCTAAGTACACGGTGAAGTTTAAGAACCATTGCCGTGGGCCTTCAATACCTCTCATTTTGTTAAGAACTTCGTTATAATTCAGCAAATGCAAAAATAATTCACATATGCTAATTCTTACACCAGGACAAGTAATTTAATTAGGTTTTATTCTGTGTTTCCAATTTAAAAATAATAAATCCACACTTTTCCTTTGCTAAAATGTGAAGTAAATTCACTAACATTAAATCAGCACTAGTAACTATGACAACTAACATTACTAGACCCACTTTATCATTTAAATAAAATAAAAATCAAATGCCCAGGGCCCTTATTGACTGTATATGTGTAATAAAGATGTAAATACTCCTGTATATTTCTGAGTAACCATAGTTTCCTACAAATCATAGTTTGTAAGGTCTGTATAGATCTGTGTCCTAGTCAGCACAGATCTAAGCCAGCAGAAAGTTATTTGCCCCCTCCTTCAGAAAAATCGGGTGGAATGCTTTAAACACCTGGCATTTGAAATTGTGTCATGTATTTGTGTCTGTTTACTGATTTGCTGTCTGCATCCCGACCCACAAAGTGAGAACTGTATGAGTACAGGGGCTCTGTCTACCACTGAAACACCAGCACCTTAAACAGTGCCTAGTGGATACAGGTGCTTAACAAATATTTATTAAGCAAAAAGAAAGGGAATCATCCCACATTAAGACAGTGCATGATATAAAAACTTCACCCTAAATCATCAATAAATCTTTGAAACCACAATGTTTATTTTCAATGGTCATTCAATTGTGTCAGTTTGTTTTATTAGCCAAAGTTTGTAGTATCACACTGCCCTTTTATGCGACTTGGTGCCTGGAAAATATGCAGCACAGGCTTTTCTTTCCTTCTTGTTCCCAAACATTTTGGGGGGCTTGAGGGCGAGGGGGAGACAGGAAAGGAACGACGTTCGTGAGTCTTCACTGCTCTATTGCTCTCATAGCTCAAAGGCTAATCATCCCATCCTTCCTGAAATATGTTGCCAGCCTGCCTTTGGAAGCAGAGCCCTTATAACTTTGTCTTAAAGAGTGTCTAATGCACTAGACATTTATTTAAGAACGCTTATGTGCTAATAACGAGACATTCAACACAGTGACCGATTCCCTATATTTAAACTTCTCTGTTAGGTCACCTTTACAACAAAACATTTCTATTGTTTTCCTTTTATGCTTCCTTCCCTAATAAACTGTAGAAAAACTCAGAAAGAAAATTTAAAACATTTTAAGACTGCAAAAGTGTAGTTAATCTTTTGAAAATGCTGCAATGTCAAGCAATGTATTTACAAAGCAATGTTGACATTTTTAAAACCACTAACATTCAATAAGTTAATTTCATTGTATTATATCTAATATCTGAGTTATTTATTTTTCTTTCTTTCTTTCTTCTTTTTTTTTTTTTTTTTTGACATGGAGTTTCACTCTTCTTGCCCAGGCTGGAGGGCAATGGTGTGATCTCGGCTCACCACAAACTCTGCCTCCTGGGTTTAAGTGATTCTCCTGCCTTAGCCTCTGGAGTAGCTGGGATTCCAAGCATGTGCCACCATGCCTGGCTAATTTTGTATTTTTAGTAGAGGCAGGGTTTCTTCATGTTGGTCAGGCTGGTCTCGAACTACTGGCCTCAGGTGATCTGCCTGGCCTGGCCCCTACAAAGTGCTGGGATTATTTATATTTCAAATGTCAAACACATTAGGCCGATTCTTCCAAAGCAGGAGCAAAATGAGCTTTTAACTTAATGAGCACCATGGTTACACATTTATCATATTTCTGCACAAATATCAATGCTGCTTATTTCTTCACTTTTGCTCAAATATATGATAAAGCCAGTAGTCTATTATACATGAACAGCACTTTTTCACATGGAAAAATTACTCATACTCTACAGATACAAATTAGCTGAATAAGAATGACAAGTGTAGAAAGAGGGAATTATGCAGCGTTTTCAATCTTGTATTTGTAAAATACATAGTCACTGTTTTCCTAAATGATAATTCTTAATGTGTATGACATAGCTAGACATCAGAAGTAAATAAGAGACGTCAGCAAGTACCCTCCTTTTTATATTGTCATTAATGGCCCGTGCCCCACTATGAGCTTACAAGGCCCTACCTGTCCCTGCAACACACCATCATGGTCTCCACCTTCTCCGACCCTGCAGAAACTGACCCAGCAGCCCTGCCAGTCTCTTCAGAGAAGATGCTTCCACTTATCTGAGCTCACTGATGGAGGCCAAAAGCCTCCACCTCCTCGGTTCACAGAACCATTTCATCTTGGTTCCATTGCTGCCTAGTAATCAACATTTTGACAATTAGACTGTGCTCCCTTCTTTCACTTCAGTTCATCCGCCTGGATTTAGCTGTCAGGGAAGATAAGGGCCAAGGCAAAAGTGACAGCTGATTCAGAAAGATAAATATTCCTCAAGGGAGAACACCTGCATGAGCACTGGGATAAGTTGGAAGAGTCTATGCACATATTTTCTTTTCAGCATAATATTTAAATTTAGGCATCACATGGTCTCACTCATACACAGGAACTCAGAAAGTAAATCTCGGCTGGGCACGGTGGCGCATGCCTGTAATCTCAGCACTTTGGGAGGCCAAAGTGGATGGATCATGAGGTCAGGAGATGGAGACCATCCTTGCCAACATGATGAAACCCCATCTGTACTAAAAAGTACAAAAAATTAGCCGGGTGTGGTGGTGTGTGCCTGTAGTCCCAGCTACTTGAGAGGCTGAGGCAGAAGAATTGCTTGAAACCAGAAAACAGAAGTTGCAGTGAGCCGGGATCGTGCCACTGCACTCCTGCCTGGTGATAGAGTGAAACTCTGTCTCAAAAAAAAGAAAAAGAAAAAGAAAGTAAATCTCATGGGGACAGAGAGTAAAATGTGATTACCAGAGGCTGGGAAGGGAAGAGGGGGATGAAGAGAAGTTAGTTAAGGGACACAAAAATGCAAAAGGAATAAGTTTTAGTATTTAATA